AAGAGCCTGGTGTGGAACAAGGAGATGACTATTAGGGCGACTGGCTTGACACAAACTTATTTCTGCCCAATCCCTGTATGAGACAGTGGTAGATTACCAGAAGCTAGCCTTCTCAGTTTATAACCTCTCTGTATTGCTCCTGTGGCTCTGCAGACCCCTGCTTAGTGAATGTAGCTCTACTGCCAACAGGCTGGCTTTCATCCGTCATCTCCACTGACTTCTCGCAGGGTCAGAGGACCAGAGGTTGAAATCCCTGGCCTAGGAGAATTGTCTTCTGTTTTCACAAAATGACTGTGCTGTTTGAAAGGCTGTTTTATCTCTCGTTTTGACAGAAAAAAGTCACAAAATTCTGTGTCTTAAGTTGCGAGGGTAGCTCAGCATGGCCTCTACCGACAGATATCTGCGTGAACGCAGGGATGTGATAATACAGAACTGCACAATGTATTTACCAGAAAGTGTTTCTAAATTATATAGGAAATGAAAAGCTGACATTCAGTTAAAATGAGATTTTATATTGTCACTCTCCTTTTCCCAGTGGTCTGATTTCAAGCAAAAAAGTACAGCCTGAATGCAATGCTTATGTGTCTGTGGAGCTCAGGTCCTGTTTTTGAAAGTAAGGCAGGTCATGCCTGGCCTATCAACTCTGGGCTCAAGCGTCTCTGCCTCTTTTCTCTGATGCTCTACCAAACCTTATTCCCGAATATGGGTGTAAAGCCAGGTAGTTTGGATGTCATACAGGTTAGGACTTGTACTCAGACACAACTCATGCCTATCCTAAGATACAGCACAGAGCTAGCCTAAGTATCCATGTAACTTAAAAAATGGGAATTAAGTTCCTAAAATCTTTAGATACTTGAAAATTTTATCTTAGTTCTTTTTACTATCAAAAAAAGCCCTCATTTTCACCATTATAAAGACAATTAAAGAAGAGCAAATGGTGGAAAAACGATTACTTTTACTGTAACCATATAATATTATTCTTAAAATCATTGCACATAGAGGCCTTGATTGGGTGCCGTGTGCTGGGTGACCCCTCCTCTGCTCAGTCCTCAGTTATCTCATACGAAACAACTAGTAGACAAATGCTCTGGAAGAAGGTAAGGCAAGTGAAATAATCTACATGGTTTAAGAATTGAAACTGTCCACATCCCTATTCTAATGCTGGCTGGTTCTGTAGTACTGAAGTGAAACAGGTTTTTAAGTCAGAATTTAGTTTGTATATGGAATAAAATTAAGAAAAACTAGAAAAATTGCCACTGAGGTGGTCAGTAAACTTTAATACTGTAAAGTAATTTTTTAAAAGTCAAGAAATTCCCATGTTAAGATCACAAAGTGTTTACAGGCTGCAACATATGATAAATGTACAGATTATATAGAGTTTTCATGATTCTAACTGTTCCGAGATTCAAAATGCACAGAGTTACTATGGCTATTGTATAAGTTATGAAGGAAGGAAAGAATGACATGCCAAACTTCTGACAGATGAAGTGGTTGTGTTTGCTCTAGTAGTAAGGCATCAGTCAATAAAAAAGGCTGAAGACCAAGAATAAAGTGGCAGAGAAAACGGAGTCTAACAGCACTGACAATGAATAGCATGCTATTTGAACACTGAGGGCCCTTAATGAAGTTAGTGGAAACCAGCTGCATGAGCCTGGGTTTTTATTCCGGGCTAAGGAAATGTTAATATCTAGTATTCCAGGTAAGTTTGTGCAGTGGATGTAGTCAGAAAGAAGATGCTACCTTGAAATTAGTCCCTGAAATGTACATATATTAGAAGTTTTTTTTTTTTTTTCAAAATTATGCTTGGAAATAGTCTTAGATGAGGATCTGCTCATAGGCACTGACCCAACTAAGAAGAAAAGATATCCTCTCATCCAAAGAACTGAAAATGCTGTTACCGCTCCCAAAAAATCTGCAGACTTTATGAGATAGTAGTATTGATCTCAGTAAACCAGCAACCCTACCTATCTGTCATCCTTGTTAGTAAGGAAGACTCTTACAGAAGACTCTGAAGGAATGTAATGCAGCAGCTTTGTTAGTATTTAAGGATGGCTCCTCCCAAACATGGGAACGGTGCAGGAGAAAGCATAATAGCGTGTGTTTGGAAACTTAATAACCTGGTGACGAAGAAGGCATCATCTGGCCCTTTATGATTAAAACTATGTTTAAAACAATCAGTAGGGTAAATCAGTAAAGGTGCAAAGAAAGTCAGTGAGCAATACTGGCAATAAAAAATTACTTACATACAATATTCAACAGATTTATTTAAATAGGTAAATACATTTTTTAATAAGAAAGGGTTTAATTTGGAAAAAAGAGGCAGCTGATGGGTCTATAAGATCATTAATTTCTTGAAGGAAACAAATAAGAAATTGCAATTCAAGTGTTTCTCATAACATAAGAACTTCTAAAATTACTTTGAAGCGCATAAAAATCTCAAAAGGGAAATGCTTTTTAAATGATCCACAAGTAAATTGCAGCACTTACTGCCACAGAATGACTTGGCTCCCAAAATACAAGTGACCTCCAAAAGTAGGTAGATAAATGCACGGTAAAATGATCCACCCAAACCAATCTGATGCAGGTGCAGCCTCTCACTCGGCAAGTCCCTAAAACTGTGCTTGGTCAGAAGCTCGGAGGATGTATGAAGAGAAAGTATCACTTGCCTACTTGCCCCGATTCTTTTCCTAATTAGCAGTTGGCTAAAATCAGAGACATAATAACAGCCGCTAATTGTCTTTTGTAGCCGTCTATTATGTTTTGTTAAGTCTGACCCAACAGAGTAGTTTTGGGTTAAGCTGTATCATTTTCCTGGAAGTCTGTAGGTACAGTCTAGTGCAGTTAGGAGATGCATAGCTGTAATGGATCTTCGAGCAGTTTAGATAGGCACAACTTTCAGATAAAAGACATTGAGGTAGTATGGCTTCAAAAATGTGTAGTGATGATATAAAGCTCTGAAAACATGTTACATCTGGATCTGTATAAAACTTGGTCTTGCTAGACTGCCTAAACAGGTGCGTTGCTCCGGGCAGCGCATTCATCCAGTACAGTAAAGTGTAATAAAACATGAACGGTCCCATAAAATTATATTGATCCAGTGCTCACTGGAGAGCATGTTCCCATTTGCAGGTACAAGGACTTGTGATGAAAGTTCTTAGTCCACTGAAATGAAACAGTACTCAAAATGTATTCAGTAGGCTTTATAATGCAGCACACAGGTTTATAAGTCAAAGGAATATCTGTATTGTGTAAATTATAAAATCAATACAAGGGATGGTTTTCACACGTTGCTTAGTCTGATGTGTCCCTTCCTGCAGCAATGTAAACACCTGTCAGTATCAGTGCTGCTGTATTTACTGTTGCCAAGTTGTATGTGGTGTCCAAACGTAGAAGCTTTATTCTTCCAACCCAAAGGAAAATTAAACTCCCTTCCCCTTCCCTTTCCCCATCCTTTCTCCTTCCTCAGTAGGATTGAAAATTCTGCATCTCTGATGTCTGCTTTTCTGGCGTTTTAAAAAAAATTAAAATGAAAACAGTTGAAGGTAGAGAAGATAAAACAGTGTAAAGTCTATGTAAAGATACCCCAGCTGGCTTTCTGTTGGCAGCCCTGGATGTTGAAAATGGCTTAGGCGTGGCAGCCAGATCCCTGTGGCTGCGGAGATGCAGCTGTGGACTTTAAAATGGCTACTTTGTGCATCTGAGCTTTGAAAATGGCAAACTGGAAATGGTGGCTTTAAGTTGAGATTCCGTCATGAAAAATCAATGGCCTGGTTAATCCGGCCTTGGTATTTTGTCATTTCTGTCCAGATCCACGGACTTCCATGGGCACTGTTTAGAAACAAAAATGTTTTCATTTGCAAATTATCAGTGTATTTTGGGATTGAAAAAATTATTGCTACTGCACAACACTGTTCCTCTGTGATAGACTGCCCACCCCGGTCTGCCCTATTGCTGAATATCTTTATGTGCATAATCATTGTTGGACAACTCGCCAAACAGAAAGTATTAGCTAGTTAAAATGTTCATTTTAGCTTTGCAGTATTGCTTCCTCTGTTGTTCTTTTGTTAAACACTGATTATTATTATAAGGATCATGATTATGAAATAAGTCCTGTTTTAAAGTTTCAGAATGAAGTGATAACTTACATTTCTTAAAATATTTATTGCAAGTTTAAAAATACTTTTTCTTGATGTGTACTGTTTAATGCAAATACTGGTATATATCTGCAACGGAGATATAACTAAACAGGCATACTTTGTGTGATGAGTTTACAGTAGGTGACACTGCTGAAATAGGAAATGTTTCATATTTCTCGAGACTATGAAAATGTCGCTAGTGGCAAGCTTGTTCATTTAGCTGCTAGTACTGAATTTTCAAGAACGACATTTATGAAGTATATAGTTGTATAAACTTAGAGATACATGTTTGATATTTGACTCTGAATTTTTTATTAATATAGTGAAAGTTTTATAACCGTAAGTGTAATTGTTAATCTTTAATTATTGAATTATCTGTTCTGCAAAAGTGTTTTAATTAATTGGAGTTCATTTGGTGCAAAACAATGCATGGGCATTTTTTCTTGGAGTTTTAAAATGACTGTTTTTTAAGAAGTACATTTGCTTGCCTAACTTAACAGAGGAATATTTTGGGAAACTCTCATTGTAAATCTTTGTCTAATGCATATTTTTCTTCACCAAATAGTTGCAACAGTAAAAATAATTGTGTTTGCTGGTGAACAGGTGATGCTGTTCCTGATATTGTGGATTTTGCATTCTCCTTAATGGTCTGGAGTTTACAGCTCTGCTGCGTGCTGAAGTGCTTGGGGTGTCTGCTGAAGATTAAATTGTAGCCTGGCTGAATGATAAAACTTGAGCAGAGCAACACTGGTCCTTTTCTGCTTTATTGCTTGGATTAAATAAGTGATTTAATCAATTTGCTGTGTAATGTATATTAATATCATTGTTTCATGAATATTGACAAAAATCTTTTTAAACTTGCAGCAAGTAGTGGCAGCAATAAATGCAGGAATCATACCTTTAGGAAACACATCTACTCAGATCAGTCACTGGGACTTGGGAAGTTCCTTCTTCTTTGCTGGCACTGTTATTACCACCATAGGTAGGACACAGCTTATTATCTTTTCATAGTAAATGAGCTGAAATTCTTTTGATTTCCAGTGTGTACATATATTTGTTAATGGTAAATCTTCCAAATCTTGTGGTTTGAAGTAGAGAGTTACTTTTTAGCTGCAGGGGCAGAAATTATAGCTGTCTGTAAGGATCCCTAGCTAAGTAAATGTTTCTTCCGTAGAAGAAAAATGTTGCTGTATATTTCTGTGAGGTGACTAGAAGAGGTTGTGGAAACATTTTCTGGGGGGAATTTGGTCAACTGGGTAATCACAAGTGTTAAATAGGGCATGATTTAAAGCACATATGCATTAAACGTTGACTGAGATGTATGGAATTTCAAGTCTGTATAATCCCATTCTATATTGTTGTTTTCTCTAAATTCTGAAAAAGATGAGAACATGGTAAAGATTCAGTTCAGCTGAATTTAATCAGTTATGAGTGCTGTATTGATAGGCAGATTTACATTCAAAGGCTTACTTTGCATTCAGAGAAGTCCAAAGCTCTAGGGTGATTTATCCGTGCTCACAAGCCCAGGGAGTTTTCTGGATCCTTTCTGCATCTGAGAGCCACTGTCCCCCCGAGCAGGTGTGAACAGGAGCCGCGTTTGATCTTTCAGTTTCTTCCCTTTGACTACAATATAGTGCACATGGTGTACAGTTCAAAGATGCAGTGTAGACCATACAAGGGGCATCCACAAAGGTGGCTGGGAATTTGAAGAGCAACTCAAATGAGAAACATTTAAGACCTACGTTATGAGAGTAATGTGTATGGAATTGTAGCACTGTTACAATAATTATCTCTATGTAATATTTATATGCGTATTGTGATGGAAGGGGATGTTCTTTTCAAGTGTTGCATGTACCTTTGTTCTTTCTTTATGTAGAAGTGCATGAGTACTATATTTTTTGTGTGTTTGAGTATATAGATGTCTATATATATGTATAAATATTATGTCTGTGTTATATTTTTCCACATCTAGAATAACTGAAACATAGGTTTAGTGAAAACAGAGTGAAACTTTTACCTCCCCGAGGTTAGTAACAAACTTAATGATTTTGTAGTAGTAGGCCCACAAGGTAATAAAACCCACAAGTATTGAAAAATGCAATTTTAACAGATTATAACCAAGAAAAGCAAGAACCTTGAAAGGATAGCTTTATGATGAGTCTTATGTTATCCTCTTCTGACAGCACAACGCTTTATGTCATAAGTAAGTATCCATGGTCCTGTAGGAAGTGCTTAATATTTGTTTCAGTTCCGAATAAGGATAAAAGTTAACGTATGAAAAGTGTTCAAGGAATTAAATGATTCAAAAATTATTTTAAAGCAGTGAAACATTTTGTTCTAAATAAAGCTAAGGCTTTTCTAAATAAAAATGTTTCCTGATTTAATTTATTGACCTGACTCAACCAAAACATGCGTGAGTCCTGCTTAGAGGAGAAAGAGGGATTTGCAGAGGCATCCGGGCCACAGATCCACTGTCCCCAAGAGGCAAGATAACCCAATAGGAAATACATTTGAAAATTAATATTTCAGGTCATTCCTGCAAACCAGAGTCATCAGAATCAGGTCAGATTAGGCAACTGTAAATATTTATTTCAGGTTTTGTGATAGAAAACTGAGAAAATCTAGGGAAAAAAAATCTTCTGTAAAATATTTTGGCTTGGGAGTAACTGTATTTTTCATCAGTGAGCCTTTCTGATGGGAAGCTCCCAATCAGTTGCAGGTCTGAGCTTTGTTTCTTAGGACCTGAGGACAGCATGCTTACATGAAAGCCGTAGTGTGGTTGGCGTTGTCTTACTGCTATGAACCATCTTCCTGGTGGTTCACAGGGCTTGCAGAGTGACAGCAGGCGGAGCTGTCATGAAAAGCCCTTGGAATTGTGACTTTCCTGGGAAAATGGTGACAAGTGTAAAAGTTGGGTGTGCTTTCCCTTATTTTTTATATTATTATGTGCCATCAAATGATTTTGTGTTCAGAGCAGTATCTTTTCATCTATGAGTAACCTTTTGAAAATGAAGGCATTCCTTCCAATTCGGGGGCATATGATTATCATGTAACTCGATATTTTGATTTCTCAAGAGACTAAAGATGCAGTTTATGAGCATCCCCAGAGTGTTGCCGTAGGTTTCAGCCAAACACTACAGATATTCTCTATGAACAAAGACAGGACCTTATAAATTCATAAAACAACTTTACAGAAATAATTTGTAAAAGTGATTTTATAAATATGAATAAAATTTATAAATATTATGTCCTTTAGACTGTACACCTTAAGAAATACTTGAGTAGGAGAAAAAAGGATTACTACCATTTAGAGAAAATGATAGCTTTCCAGTGTTGCAGCAGATTCTCTAGCTTTCCAAACCTCTTATTACTATAATTTTACCTTCTCATTTAGCCCACACTCCTCCTGGCGATATCTCAGAATCTAAGAAATTCAAATGGAACCAAGAGTTTATTTGTGGATAATGTTTCCCAAACTTTTCTTTAATGACAGTAGCACTTGCATCCCACAAGTATTCGGTTCCTGGGGAGAGGATATAATAAATAAAGCCTTCAGCATTTCCCTAAGCAATAAGTTACTGGTTTACAGTTACTGTTATTATTGTATCACAGTAGTGATGAACATTTAAGTGAAAAATATTGACCGTGTATTTTGGTGGCTGTTGGCAGCAGTCCAGAACCATCTGTATTTTTGTACTCTTCTGGGTCTCCTGTAGGCTGCTGAAAGGTTCTGTGATGGGGACATGTAAATCTATTGAGCTTCAAAGCCAGCTAACAAAAGCAGAGGTAACACTAGAGAAAACATGGCTTGATGTTTATTTAACAGGTTTTTTTATTCCCTTATAATCCTTGATGTCATCCAGTAAATGTTACAGTGCATATTATAAAATTAATAAACTCAGTTTTAATAGAACATAATCTGTCATACTGCTACTAGATCTTTCCTAAGAAGTGGATTTAGTTGAGGGGTCAGGGTTGAACAATTTCACAAGACTTTATTTAGAAAAGATCCTTTGTAGCTTTTTTTCCCATGTCTGAGTGGGTTGGTTTGGCTTTGCATTTACTACTGTGCAACAGCTTAAAACTTGTTTCAGGAAGGTGTTGCGAATGAGTGGTTTAAGGCCGCTTAAAGAATCACCGTCAAAGGTATTAGCAAAAAGTGGTTTTAATAGGAATTTATAAAAGTGCAACTTAATAGAGTTTTATGGCAAGGTCCACTCTATCACTTACTACATGGATGAAGTATACAAAGGAAAATCGAGTTAGAATTGAGCTGGAATGATTTATACAGAGACCAAGGACGAAAAAGGATAAGGGAGACCCTCCCGTTGAGTCATGAGGTTCAGAGAAGATCCCCTTGCTTTCTAAACCCTTGATGGAGCTTAGGTGCAGCTAGGTCCAATCTTAGTCTCAGACTTGGACAATGGTTTATGTGGAATGGAAGAAATACAAAGAGTAAGGAGACCCTCCAGTTGAGTTACGAGATTGAGAGTAGATCCCCTTGCTTTCTAAACTCCTGATGGAGCTTAGGTGCAGCTGGATCTGCTCCTAGTCCCAGACTTGGTCAACGGTTTATGTCTAAGGGATTATATGTATGTAGCAGCAGTCTAAGGTTCATTCAGAGTTTTAAGGTGGGTCACAAGGTATTAGCAGCACTTAATCATTGACTAATTTAACATTTACAAAGTGAGTCAATAGAATTTACTACAATCACAACAGTGACTTAATTACAGATTTGAGATGGCAATATTTATACTATGCTTGCTATCGGGTACCTAAATCAATTCACTCACGCACACACAGAGACACAAATATATATAAATGTACAAAAGTATACCTGTTAAAATTTCCCCTCGAGTCCAGTGAAATGTTCATGTCAAATGTCTGGCATTTCTCAACGGGTGAGGGCTTGAGCCTTGCGGAGTGTTTCAGCCCAGGTCCCGTCATCGGTCGGCCATGGTCCTCCGAATATCACAAACTCGAGAGTTCGCAAGCTCTGAGTGGAGTCCCAGTCAGAGGGCGATACTGGGCGCAGCCCACGGCGGACCAGGAGAGCTCACAGGGTCTCTCTTAGGACTGCTGTTTATAGGTTTGCAAGATGATTGGCTTTAGTCATCCGTAAACTTCCATCCTGGCCACAGTCCAAGGTGGTAGTTACTAACATTCTCAAGATTTCAGTAACAATGGTACCGTTCCACTTGAGTTTCGACTCAGATAAGGGTGTCAGGGGATGACGAATTATCCCCGCTCTCGTTCCCCACCTTGGCCAGGCATCAGGAATTCCTGGTATGATCAGTGCCGATCACCCACTTCATCCACGCAAGAGCTCCTGGTACGGTCAAGGGACGCTTCACTGCCCAACTCATTACACAAAGGCCAAGGCTTAACGGGAGTTACTGAGACCACAGAAGGGACCTCACTGGTTATAGGTTTGGTTTGCTGAGTTAGGTGTTCTCGCTTGTGGATATGTTTCTAGAACAAATACGCCTCATCTCAACAAGAAATGTGAAACTATGTGATTACTCTGTGCGTCTGGAGCAGTTTCAGACAGTCCCTAAGATGGAAAAGGGTAACAGGGAAATGGGAATGCAAAAATTGTCTATGAAAAATATTGTTGCATTGTTCCCTGGGATACTGTGCATGCTGCAAAGCACAAAAGATATTTTTCTACCTGAAAACGTCATTATCCAGTCAGTCCTGCTCTAAGACCATATATCCAAAGAAAAGGAAAAAGAGAGTTGAGAAGAAAAGCAAGAAAAAATGGTAACTCAGTCATAAAGCTGGAGATAGTGCTGAGGAAGAGGGGAAAATAATCTTTACATCACCTCTTTTTATTCTAAGAGCTCAGTGTTGGCGCTGGACATGATTTTTATCCTCTAAAAAAATTTCCTTTGATAAGTAGCTCAGAAATGGACATACAGACACAACCTGTGCACACCCCGCTTCCCCCCCAAACAACTTATATTTTAGGGCCTGAGAAAG